CCCCCTTCCCCAAAAGTTTTCCGAATAGACTGTTCCCCGACAAACACAGACAGCCACGAACGTCCAGAAATGTAAGTAAGCAAAGAAGCAGTCTCAAGAATTTGAGGGAAACAGCGCGCTCTATACACCATATCCTAAGCTAAACAGAAGAAAAACGTATGTTCACGACATCGCTTTTACAGGGAGTAGTTAGGAAGACGGAGGGGTAGGGGAAGGGGGGTACATTTCTGAATACTGCTTGCGTCTGTAGAGATGGATCGGGTACCAGATCAAGGCAAAAACGTGGAAGTCAAAACCTACAACTAGGATGAACCGATAATACTGGTACTTATCATCGTCATTCCTTTGGTTGCGAAGACTACCGGAGTAAAACTGTCAATGTTAGACAGCAAAGAACTTTGTAATCAAAAAAAGGTATTACCTGGTTTGATGTGACTGGTGGCCCGGTTGAAATCCTTGCAAAAATTAGCCACATTAATGCCTCGTTTACCCAGGAATGGACCCAACGGTGGCGCTGCTGTTGCCATCTGTGCCCTAAAAAAAGTCTCACAGAATCCACTACACAATCTACCACTGGAGAGGTGACACATAACTTTATAGTGCGATAATATGCTAAAACAGCTATTACTTTTGAATGCATTCAGCATTGATGGAGTTAATACTCCCTAAGTCTGGTACTGTTCGCAGAAGAAAAAATTTGCTTCTCTCTCTCTCTCGTTTTCATAAAAATTTAGCATTTTATAAATGCATTTCTGCTTGACGAGATTCACAGCATATTCCCCTCACTCTTCGGAAAATTTCAGGACCTCTTTGCCTGAATTAAGCGTCTGGCTATGTATCAGCCTTCTAACTTCACTAGGAAAATATTCTTTAAGATAAATATAGACCAGCTGGAATCCCGAATCGTATATTCCCTAACCTGTCCGGATGATTCTGGCATGCACAAAGAGATTGTTCCCTAAGCAAGTTGTTGGCTCACTTCCGAGAAATCCTAATGAAAACTGGTGGTGACGTACGCGGTAAACCGGAGAGTGAAAAAAAGTGAAGTTTCTATACAATTTTAAAAACAACAAATTCAGTGCTAGTGGCAAGAAAAAAATAGCTTCCAGTTTCTCAGTGAGTGTGAAAATTACAGCTAATTAGGTTGCAGCCTCCAGGTCAATCCTGGAGGGGCAGATGATGGGGTGTCCAAGTAAAAAAGGGTAGTGTAGGTCGAGAGTAAGAGTGAGCTAAA